GGGGGGGGGGGGGGGGGAGGAAGGGGGGGGGGGGGGGGGGGGAGGGGGGGCGGAAGGAGGGGGGGGGGGGGGGGGGGGGGGGGATGGTGGATGGGTGAAGGGATGAATGGAGGATGGATGGATGATGAACAAAGGATGGACGATAGATGGGTGGATGGATGTTTGATGGATGCATGATGGTGGATGGATGGTGAATAAAGGATGGATGGATGATGGAGGGATGGATGGATAGGTAAATATATTGATGGGTGGATGATGGATGGAAGATAGATGGAGGGATGGAGGAATAGATAAATATATTGATGGATGGATGGATGGATGGATGGATGGATGGATGGATGGATGGATGGATGGATGGATGGATGGATGAATGAATAGATACATCTATGGATGGATGGAAGATGGATGAATAGATAAATATATTGATGGATGGATGGATGGATGGATGGATGGATGGAAGATGGATGGATGGGAGCCATCCCTTTAAGCACTTTGTAGGCATCAGGGAGTTGGTTTGATGTGGGTAACCGGGTGTAACCGCCGGTAACCAGGTGTAACCGGGGGTAACCATGGTAACCAGTGAAGCTGGGGGTGCTAATAATGCTGGTTCTGACCCGGCTCTGCCCAGGTGCTGGTGCTGGTGATTGATAGATGGTAGATCGGAGCTGCCCCCTTAAGCACTTTTAAGGCCAGCATCAAGGAGTTGGTTTGATGTGGGTAACCGGGTGTAACCGGGGGCAGCCAGGTGTAACCGTGGGTAACGGGGGTAACCGTGGGTAACCAGTGAAGCTGGGGGAGCGGAGGGTACCTGGTACCGCTCGGTTCTGACCCGGCCTCTGCCCAGGTGCTGGTGCCGGTGATTGATGGAGGATTGATGGATGGAGTATGAATAATGGATAGATAGATAGATAGATAGATAGATAGATAGATAGATAGATAGATAGGGGAACCGTCCCCTTAAGCACCTTGTAGGCATCAGGGAGTTGGTTTGATGTGGGTAACCGGGGTTAACCGCCGGTAACCAGGTGTAACGGGGGGTAACCATGGTAACCAGTGAAGCTGGGGGTGCTAACAATGCTGGTTCTGACCCGGCTCTGCCCAGGTGCTGGTGCTGGTCCCGTTCCGGGGCGCGGCCCTCCGGGTGGTGCACGCGCTCATCGGCCTGCTGGAGGCCGGGGGCCGGGGGGTGGAGGTCAGCAACAAGAAGAAGTTCAAGCAGGAGTTCGGCGAGGAGGCGGAGCCTACGCCCAGCGGCCGTCGCCCCGACGACCACAACGCCGTGTTCACGGGGAACCTGGACGACCACTTCAGGATCGGTCAGTCCTAGGGATGGGACGGTTTCTGAAACCCGTCTGAACCGTTGGGTTCTGTTTCGGTTGGGTTCGCGTGTGTTTTGTTCGGTTCCTGCTGCTCCTTTTTCTCAGAG